GATATTTACGGTTATGTTTATTACGATTATTATAATAGTTTTGATTACTATTACGATTACATTTATTATGATCATTATCATTAGTTTATCAACATTTGCATCATTTTTACTATTCGTTTCATCATTATTTGTAGCATTACTGTTGTTGTTATTACTTTTGTTGTTGATACCAATATTACATAATCATCATCAATTACTATCATCAACAGTGTCGTCAGTGGCCAGGTAAAACCATTCTTCAACATATTTTGTTGATTCATTATTCTTTATTTATATATTTTTACATGACCGACGGTTTAATGTGCCTATTCTACCGATCAATGATGGGCGCCTTGCATTGGGTCTAAAAGTTTAATGGCGAGTCAAATCTTGTCTTGTCGTATCCTAGAGTAAGTGGTGGACATATCCATTGAGGCACATGTATTCGAAAAGGCTCCTGGTGATGCGCTAGGGTGGCTATTTCTTACCGCCCCAAATTGGTGTGATAAAATAGATAAAAACTCACGGGAAAAGTCGGCTGGTTGTATCTACTGTCATGCAGGTTTATTTTGCTAAAATTGACATGATATAAGTACGGTAAGTTGTAAAATGGTTTGCTATGGATTTTTAAAACCCGCGTTTGATGCGAATGTGGTTTATGATTGGCTAGTATTGCAGTGTTATATAAGGAAACACTGTAGGTAGTAAGTGGCACTTACGAATCTATTTCGTTTAAATCAGTTTCGTTTATGATCAATTGCATACAGAAACTGCATGACAAATATACCAATATCATGGCATATACTTTAGATATCACATTATTTTTTTATGTAAGAAACGTAAGTTTTCTAATAAGACGTACTGTCGCAGAGGAGTGCCCGAAATATTCCAACTTTGTGAAACTAAATAAAATTATTTTCCATTTTTGTATAAAGCATGGCTTTAATTACAAAGAATTTTCATTTTTGCCTTTATGACTGTCTACTCCTGAATATTAATTTATTTACGGTGAGCTTAAAGGCTAATGAAGGCAGCTCCGAATTACTAAATTCTTTCTAGCATATTATTTAAAATGCAAAAATATTTGTGTTGATAAAAATACATATGGCTGTATGCAGTTTAAACTTTCAGTGAGCAATCCATTTTAACTAATCATTTTGGCCATTTCCAAGCCGCAAATTACGATTGCCACATGTCGCAACAAGTAGCATTTGAATGAATTTCCAGTTTATCTAAACATTTATCTTCATAGTCATAACATATCCATGTATGGTTAATGGCTAATGGTTATAAAGCAAGATAAAGGTGCTAGATACCATAGATCATATAACACTATAGAAAGGTGTAGTAATGAAAAGGGTAAAGATGTTAGTTGATAATTAAATGTGCCACATGTCGGTTTAGGAGAGTATGGTATTGAAAGGGGTAAAGCAGGGTTAGGGTAGATAGGTTGAGTAACTGGGTTAAGGTATTAGCAAAAGGGTAATTAGATTTAAGTTGTGGAAGGGAAAAGTGGGATTGTGCAAGGATGCCCAAGGGATATGGCTGGGATTAGCAAAAGGGGAAGAGGAGGGGTGGTTCAGGGCAAATAAATCTAAGAACATTATCAGGAGAACTGTCAGGAGAGGAAGGATCCAGGGAAGAGTATTGTGTCAAAATGCAGTCACATATGCATCCATGAAGGAGTGGAAGGGGGCGATGCAGATCGGTGGGGGTGTTGGGATTGGAAGGAATAGGTGTTGGGGAAACAGGAGTTGGAGGAGGATCGATGTCGGCAGTCACTTGAGGTGTAGAGGGAATGGGAACAGAGATTGGAGGGTGGGTGAGGGATATGTATGTTACTTTGGATCATGATTAGAGTTTTTGAAATGGAGTTGGTTGGGGAGGTTATGAGGGGGAGAGCAGGGGACACGTTTGAGGAACAGAGGGGATATACGTTTAAATTGTCTGATGCGATGAGTAGAACGAGGAAGAAGAGGGGCATGTACCAGGGACGTAGAGATTGGATTGTCTGGAGAATTTGACTGGGAGTGAGGGGGGCAGAAAAGGGAACGTAAGGAGTAGGAAGAGATACTGGGAGATATATAGAAACATGATGGGGGGAAGGGGGAGGGAGTAGGGGGTAAAAGAGAAAACGCCGTGGATATTGTTCCGGCACCGGACTTTATAACAGTTTGGCTATTCGTCCGGCATACATGCGCACTATTTGCGCGCAAACACACTCGCGCATTAGCCTTGCATACAAACTTTGGCGCTGTTTTTGTGTTCATTGTTCAAGGCTAAGGGTCGATCATCGATTATGGATTACCTCAAAGTTTTGCTGATGTGAAGGACAGCTTGACCAAATTTCAAGAGAGCACTTTCACACAGTTTTATTTCCAAGATTCAAGGACTGTTGCTGCAGCTTTGAAGCGTACACCGGATAAGAAAGTAAAAGCAGAGTTGAAGTACTTCTACGAAGTGTTTGCCTGCATCGGGAAATACGACAATTGGGAAGGGGTCCGGGGGCGAAGCCTCCGATAGGGAAATACGGCAATCGGGAGGGAGTGCGGGGGCATAGCCCCCGCGTTAGGAGGGATTTTTGGTTCATACGGCAATCCTACTGGTAGTTCGTGCGTTCAAGATGCGGTTCACTCGCTCGTTCGTTCGCGCATCACCATGTCGAATCATCCGTGGCCGAATCTTCTCTCGGGTTCCAACATTTTTCACTTTCTTTATCATCTGAAATGCTATCCTTGACTCGGATTTCCAATTTCCCACATTCTTTTGCTTTTTGAAATGCATGCCATGAACGAAATCACCCCCAACCCCGATTCCCCATGGGATCCCCCAACCTTGTTGGCGGGAGTCGGGGACTTCGTCTCTGACGGGTGCGGTCCTATCGTTTACAGGCACGATGAAATTACAGAATAGGGATGAAAATCACAGAAATGTTAAACTGTAGCAAACTTAGCATGTATGTCCACTCGGTCCTAAGAATGATTAAAAATATTGATGATATGCGCCCCTGCCGGAAAAATAGCTCTCTAGTGCAGGCTTCTGACAAAAAACGCCGGAAAAATATCCCAGCAGAGTCTCGATCCGACTATGAATATTGCATGAAATGACCAAGACAGAATTATTGACAGTGCGCAAACGCGAGTGAATGCCCGACGAATAGCCAAAATGTTATAAAATCCGGTGCAGGAACAATATCCACGGCGAAAAGAAAAACCTCGGTGGATTGTTTCCTGTCAGGCCGTTTTGGTGGCCAAAACGCAAACATTTCTGACTGACGGGGGAGGGGTTGATATGATCGGATAATGCAGGACTCTCCACCAATATAAACTTGTGGGAGATGTCATCTCTACAGAAGGTAATTTGGGCAATATTGGTGTAGAACTTTCACCCACCAGTGGTGAGAATTGTATAGCACTGTACTGACACTGCATCATAGTCAACTATGCAGGTAAGTAGGTCGTTTTCCTTGTCGTAGACAACAGTAAGCTGAGGAGATGGAAACACTTCCAGGATAAGTATTAGGGAAGAATGAGGTCTGCCAGGGTAGATAACACAGGAGCTTGGAACTAAGGTGTAACTGACCAGACGTGAACGTTAGGAATGGCTGTGGAAGTAAACTTAGCATATTTGTTTCTGGAGACATTGTTGGAATAGGAGGGTATTATCAGAGTAAGGGGCTGTGGGGAATCGCAAAAAATCGATCCCACAGAGCTGGGCTAAAAATAGTACTCAAAAGATCTGTTGATGTGGAAGTAAATGAAGGGTGAGGACAGAAGGAAGAGGGAGAATAATAATGAGGGAGGAAAATGAAGAAGGCTGTGGAGGATGAGGAGATGGAGTGGAGTAGTGATCAAAGGAGAGCCAAGGGTCAGTGTATCAAAAAAGTTAATGTCATTGCGGTTAGTTGATAAAGGATATAGTCCAACTCGCCCAACCCTTTTACTAACTCATCCCACTTTTTACAGTGAGCCTTATTTTATACAATACCGGTATGTATACCGGAACCTATCGAACCATATCAGACTATACCGGACCCAATAAGAGGTGAATAAATGACCAGTGGACACCACCGGAGTATTTTAGGCATAACATAACCTATCTGAACCTAACCTAACCTAACTCAACTTGACCATCCTAACAAACCAACCTAACCTAACCAACCAACACAGCCAACCTAACCAAACCAAACCAAAAACCAAGGCTTCACACTATGGGTAATTTACTTTGCTGGGAAAAGGCTAGAAAGTGGGGCGAGTTGGCCCTCTGGAAGGGCCGAGTTGGATCTATCCCGTTGATAAAGGGGTAAACCTCTATGCCCCTAACAAAAGTACAAAATCATTACTGGTCATGGTAAACTTTGATTATGTGGGGAATTAAAATTATTAACCCCTCAGGGCCCTTATGTGGGGTTAGGCATAGATCACTAAAGAAAATACTGTGCCCATGGCTCCCTGAAGCCATTCAGGAATGGCCCAAAGCCAACCTTTTATTCTATCAGCACAGCTTTTACATCTCATGAAGTAGACAGAATGGGGTTGGAGAAGACCTATACAGACTTGGTTGATGAGTAATGAGGTCCAAGGTAAGGGAGGTTCCCAAAATTTGGGGTCCGTCTCCTAAGACCCCCCCCCAGCAACAACGGGTATAATTCTTTTTTTTCTTGTAGAATGTATTGAGTTAAACCGTTACTTCCATTGACAATGAAACCCAGTGCAACACTGGTATGACTCTATCCTCCATTTATTTAGGAATGGGTAATATTTTTAAAATGAAACAGATTTGACTTTATTATGTACACCTGCTCTGAGCATCTGAAGGCCACCAAAAATGCTATATGAGCCATTTGAAAGGGGTAGTATCTAGATAGATTCGTATCCTGTGTACCAAGTGTTTGTGTGATCTGAAGATTATTGTATAATTCATATAAAATAAGAGCGATTTTAATATTATATATGCATCATTGAATATGAAATTGCAAACTCATGTATTATTTCAGTTGTGTTTAGTATAGATTTATAAAATTATTTCCAAATAATCAAAGTAAGGAGTTTAAAGCCAAAGTCAACAGATGAAGGAAAAAGCAATATGAAAGTTGCTAAGTGCATACACAATTTCTGCTGATTTTGATGATTAATCCCTGTTTGATTTGTCATATAAAATGAGATATACTATGGATTTTCCTTTGTATTTATATTTACAATTTGTGAATTGCCTTTGTCATAATTTTGTTCCAATTGTGGAACCTTTACCAGCCATGGAAAATGTTAGGTCACACGAGTGTAATTCCAACATTTATGTATGGCACATGTGGAATCGCAACAGTGTTTTAGCATACCGATGTGGTGTAAAGGCTATTTATATAGTCCACATTTTCTTTTAAGTATACAGCCGTGAAGGTTACCCAAATGATTGTATTGGCCTTGAGGCATCTTATATTTTCAAGTCTTATTTGTAGGATAAATCACAATGATGACATGGAAAATAAACAACTAATGAAAGGACTAGGTTACATGTCTGTCCATCTAAAGAATATCAGTAGTCAGATGGAATTCAGGAAGACAAAGCCCCTATTTACAAACCATGTATGGAGATTGAACCAGAGTGTAAAGAAGTGTATTGCTCATTTTTAGAATAGCGGTATGATTTTCTAATGGTAATCATATTGCCTATTAGTACAACCTCCCAGTAACCAGCCATAATGCAAAGCATGAAGAGGGGAAAGTCTTAAAAACATTTTATAAACTAATATATATTGTAGTATTATTGATTATTTTCCATTGGTGTAAAGGAGTTATGTTGATAAACAATGATATTAGAAATTTTATCACTGAGCATTATTGTTTTAATGAATTAATTTAAGCATATTGTAAAGACAAAACATGATGTAACTGAAATTACCCACTCTATGGTGTTTTGTGTTTTATGGAATTAATTTTCAAGTACAATGTTTCATTTCTGCAGTTTTTACATACTTATACAAACAAGAATATATTTAGCTTTGTAAGTTTCTCATGTGAAGGGATCTGTAATATATTACATGGAAGAAGTCAACAATAATTTACATGGAAGAAGTNACACACAACAGACCAAGAAAGACCTGCAAGGAGGACAGGAAGAGTATGGACAGGAGGGAAGGGGAAGCAGGGGGGCAGCAGAAGACATACGGAGACAACAAGACAACAAGAGACCAAAGAAAGACTGCGAAGGAGGACAGGAGAGATGGAAAGGAGGGGAAGGGGAGCAAGGGGGCAACAGACACAACGAGAACAACAAGACAACAAGAGACCAAGAAAGACTGCAAAGGAGGACCAGGGAAAGATGGACAGGAGGGAAAGGGGAGCAGGGGTGGACACGAGACAACGAGTGACAACAAGAAAGACTGGCAAGAAAGGACAGGAGGGAAGGGGAGCAGGAGGGGCCACCGAGACAACAAGACAACAAGAGACCAAGAAAGTACTGCAAGGGAGGACAGGATGAGAATGGACAGGCAGGGAAGGGGAGCGAGGGGGCAACGAGACAACGAGACAACAAGACCACAACCAGACCAAGAAAGAACTGCAAGAGAGGACAGGAGAAGATGGACAAGGAGGGAAGGGGAGCAGGGGGGCACGAGACAACGAAGACACAAAGAACAAACAAGAGACCAAGAAAGACTGCAAGGAGGACAGGAGAGAATTGGACAGGCAGGGAAGGGGAGCAGGGGGGCACGAGACAACAGAGACAAACAAGACAACAAGAGACCAAGAAACGACTGCAAAGGAGGACAGGAGACGATGGACAGGAGGGAAGGGGAGCAGTGGGGGCGACGAGACAACGAGACAACAAGGAAAAGACTGCAAGAAGGACAGGAGGGAAAGGGGAGGCAGGGGGGCCACGAGACAACAAGACAACAAGAGAACAAAGAAAAGACTACAAAAGGAGGACAGGAGAGTATGGAAGGGAAGGATAAGCACGAGACAACGAGACAACGAGGTACAACGAGACAACGAGAAGAGCGCCTGGGTGCGTGCATGGAGCGGGGCAGCGAGCCGAGCGGGGCCGCCTGAGTCAGCGCGGGGGAGAGGGGGGGGGTGGGGGGGGGGGGGGGGGTTCGGGCGCAGGTATGACTGACTCGCGAGGGCGACGCTGACCAAGGACGGGAACGTCTGCGGGGCGCCCGTGATGCTCATGACGCCTCTCCGCCTGCCTGCTTGCCCGCCCGACTGCCTGCTTGGCTTACTTGTTTGCCTGCCTGACTGCCTGCTATCAATTGCCTTGCTTGGCTTTACTTGTTTGTCTGCCTTCTTTGCCCGCCGCCGACTGCCTGCTTGGCTTTAACTTGTTTGGCCTTACTTGTTTGTCTGCCCTGAATGCCTGCTTTGTTTTTTACTTGCTTTGTCTGCCTGCTTGCCCTGCCAGACTGTCTGATTGTTTTTAGCTTGTTTGTGCTGCCTGCTTGCCTGCCTGCTTGGCTTACTTGTTTGTCTGCCTGCCATTGCCTGCCTGCTGCTTGTCTGTCTGACTGCCTGCTTCATTGCCTGCTTGGCTTACTTGTTTGTCTGCTTGCCTAGTCTGTCGCCTGCTTGCCTTACTTTGTTTGTCTGCTGGCTTGTCTGTCTGGCCATACTTCCGGCTGCCTACTTGGCTTACTTGTTTATCTGCTTGCTTGTCTATCTGCTTGTCTACCAGCCTATCTGTCTGCCTGCTTCCGTATCTGCTTGTCTGTCTACCTACTTCCCTGTCTGCTTGTCTACCGGTCTGCCTGCTTCCGTATCTGCTTCTCTACCTGCCGACTTCCCTGTCTGCTAGTCTACCTATCTGCTCTGTCTATCTGCCTCTTTTCCTGTCTGCTTGTCTACCTGTCTGTCTATCTGCCTGCTTCCCTGTCTACTTGTCTACCAGCCTATCTGCCTGCCTGTTTCCGTATCTGCTTGTCTACCTGCCTGTCTGTCTGCCTCTTTTCCTGTCTGCCTGTCTACCTGCCTACCTGAAAGCCTGCACGTTCTCAAATGTCCCTCAGACAACGCCGTCAGTATGAAAATGGCCTTCGTTCATTAAACTCCCAATGGTGAAGAGAAGAAAAAAAAAACGCATAAACAAACACAAACAAACAAGGACCAATTGTCTTCCCACTTAGAACGTCAGCTGAGGCTCTCCCATCCCTCTGACACCCCCCGCTGCTGAAGTCTACGGACGTCCACGCCAGATTTCACAAGACCATTGGCCTGGGATTTACGTGCGTTCATAGCGAGAAACGAGAAAGAAATGGACGAATGAAGAAAAAAATGAATAAAGGGAAGGGAAAGAGAAGAAACGGAGAGGAAGAAATGGACGAATGAAGAAAAAGACGAAAATAAAAGGGAGGAAAGAAGAAGAAACGGAGAGGAAGAAATGGACGAACGAAGGAAGAAAAAACGAATGATAGGATAGGAAAAGAGAAGAAACGCGTGGCAGGAGGAAGAAATGACGAAGGAAAAAAAAACAATGATAGGAATAGGAAAGAGAAGAAACGGAGAGGGAAGAAATGAAACGAACGAAGGAAAAAGCGAATGATAGGAAATAGGAAAAGAGAAGAACGGAGAGGAGAAATAGAAAAGAAGGGAACAAACTGTTAGAATGAAAATCGACAATTACCATTTCTTTTTCCTCTCCGTCAGTAACCCATGAAGCCTACTTCCCTTCCTGTATGCCCGCTCTTTCCTTCGCGCTTCTCCGCTCCCTCCCTCATCTAATCCTTCCTTCATTCCCCTCTTGCCCTCTTCACATCCTTCCCTCCCTCCTCGCCGTCCTTCCTCCTCCCGTCCCACTCTCCGACTTCCTCCTCCCGTCCCTCCCTCTCACATCCTTCCTCCCTCCCTCCCGTCTCATGCATTCCCCTCCATTCCCCTCACATCCTCGCCTCCGCTCCCTCGCCTCCCTCCCTGTTTCTTCTATCCCTCCTCCTCCCTCCCTCCCTCCCAATTACATGCGTCTTCGCTCTCTTCTCTCTCTCCTCCACATCTTCTTCCGTTCCTTCTTCCTTACTTTGCCTCCGCTTCATTCCTTTCCTCCCTCCCCTGTCTTACTCTGCCCTCCCGCTCCCCTCCCTTCCTCCCACTCCCTCTCTCCCTCCCCTCCCATCCCGGCTCCCCTCCCCTTCCTCACCCTCCCCTCCCTCCCCTCCCTCCCCCCATCCTAATGAACCCATCCCTCTTCCAGACTCAGAGAAATCGTCCCAAAAAAAGGAGACACAAAAAGGGCCTCTGTGGAATGGCCTTGTCTTCGTGCCAAAAGGTTTTTCGGGTGGATTAAGAGACTGGGTGAGTGACTGTCTTGACTGTCTGCCTCACTTGCTCGCCAAAACGACCGACGGACTGTCTGCCTATAATGTCTGTCTGTCTGTCTGTCTGTCTGTCTCACTTATGAGCTGGCGAACTTGGCTGACGATGTAACTGACTTACTGACGACCTACCTGTCTCATCGACTGATTATATTGACAGACTGGTCTAAATGACTGACTTATTGAAACAGACTGGTGTAAATGACTGATTTAATTTGACAGACTGTGTAAATGACTGACTACTAACTGCCTGAGTGACTTACTGACTAACTTACTAAACTGACTGAACTGTCGTTTATTTACTGACTGACAAAACACCAACTGAATGACTAAATGACATATACTCCCACAACCCACAATAAAAAACTCATCTCAACGATTCTCTTATTTGCCTGAACTAAACCAGACTGACAAGCTGACTTCCCACCAAGACCCTGCGAAAGAAACGGCGGCGTGCTGACAGGCTGACTAAGCTGACGGCGGCAGAACACGGGATCTGCCTGTTAGCATAGCGTTTTAGCTGGCGTTGCGTGTGGAGGAAGAGGGGGGGGGAGGGGGGAAGGGGGGCACGCAACGGCCGCCTCGCAACTTGGCGTTGATCGCTCTCTTGTTTCTACTTCATCTCCTCTCTCTCTCTCTCTCGATCATCTCTCTCACTCTCTCTCTCTGTCTCTCTCTCATCTGCTTCTACTCTCTCTCTCTCGGTTCTCTCTCTCTCGCTCTCCCGCTCTCTCTCTCTGTTTTTTTTTTCACTTTTCTCTATTCTATTTCTCCTCTTGGTCTGCTTTCCCTTTCTTTCTTATCTTTCTTTCCTCTCTCTCTCTCTATGTTGTATATTT